TTTCTTCTTCTTCCTTGCTTGGCAGTGAGAGTCTCACCACTGCTACTGAACTTGTGCTATTTAACTTTGGTGGCATGAGGGAAACGGGCCAATCTCACAATGTTTAGCTGATATACATCCTCTTTCAAGTTTCTGCCCCATCATGTGGTGAGAGTTAAAGCTAGGAAAGCCACTCTGAGTAAACCATTGACACAATACTCAGGGTAGGGCAATGAGTTCTCATGGGTCACCATGTCCTGCTCCTCATGTCATACAGACAGAAGAGGACACCGCATTGCTCACTGCCACCCTGGACTTGCCTGACTGAAGACGTGTTCAAAGTGCTCCCTCCCTCTAACAATCGTGAATTTTCATGAACCATCCTAACTCAACACACACGCGTTCACGTTTTACTAAGCTCATGTCAAACTTAGCAATGCTCCAAAATCTATGCTGCCCTCTTGTCCATCCCCAGATGTGTCTGAGGAACCTACTGTGTGTGAAGCACCTACTGTGTGCGAGGTACCTGCTGAGCCCTGGGGCCACAGAGAGTACACACTGCTCCCAGCTCCCGGACATTAGCACAGTGGCTTGGTTGAGTGGTTGAGCAAAGCTGAGGTGTTTCTCCAGGACTTCCGGGCCAAGTGGCCAGGGGGAACGTCCAGCTTGAGCTGGGTGCTGGAGGAAGGACAGAGCTCGGGGATCAGGAGGGCCCCCCCCCGGCCCAGCAGGGTGGCATGAGCAGGACCCGCCCGATCTCTGCCGTCCGCAGTGTCTCCAGCTGTGCCGTGGGTGAATCAGGCCTGGAGAACCTTCAGTATTCACCCACGTTCTATCTTCATGGACTTCAAATTAGGTTTTGAAAACCATTTCATTATCCAAACTAATCTCCCTGAATTCAATAAGCAATAAATAAAAATGGAAGAGGAAGAGCTGATACCATTTCATCTGAGCCTGTAACCCATCAATTACCTCTCTTTTCCTGCTCTGTAAAAACTCAGAGCTTTTATAACTCAAGGCTTTGGAAAGGCCTAGAAATGAACGTTGAGCCCTGGGTCCCTGAGCAGGTTTTCAACCTCTCTGTGCACAGACTTACATCTGCAAAATGAGCTGTGTGAGACACACCTTAGCAGATCACAGGTGGTGTCTATCTAAAGCTCAGCCCAGAGCTCAGTTCGTGTGGGGTGTTAATAAATGGAGCGATCATTTCAGCTAGAACCAGCAACCTTCCTTTTTCTAACCAGCTAGTGCTAACACTATTTGCTCCCCACAGCTGCCGGCTGTGCACATGTGCAAGGGGCTGGGGGATCATTTAGCAGGCGTGCCAATGACTGTGATAGCCATGAGCCCCTGTGACCATGTCAGCTTCTTAAAATGCAATAAAACAAAAAAATTCAGTCGTATTAGCTATAATTCAGTCATGATGTGACCAGGGACTACTACTGTTTGGAGAAGCACGTCATTGGAACACTTTCCTGTTCTGTTGGACCGAGCTGGGTGGGAGAGTTTTGGCTGCACCAGCAAACTCACTTTGCCATGGATCACATGACTCATCTGTAGCCAGGAGCCGTGTTCCTCCCCAGTGGACATTGGTGGTGTGCGGGGTCATTTCCAATGGTGACACCTCCTGGGTGAAAACTCTCATTAACCCTGTGAACAGCCGATCTGAACCCTGGCCTGTCCGGTGCCATCCTCACCACCGCTGACCTGCTGGAGCCCGTGGCTGTAGTTGCTGTGCCACCCCGTCACGTGAAGTCTCATCCTCTTCATCTGACCCTCCACCTTTCCTGCCATGAGGTCTTTTCCCAGTAACCGGCCCCTCCTGCACCCTGCCCGTAGTGTGTGAGATAACGCTTCCCCGCCCTTGCTGCAAGGAGCGCCCTGGTTGCACATTCTTCAGGACTGACTGGTGTGTTCTTTTGGCAGTCTGTGGGAGAGTCAGTGCTCTTCTCCAACAGCACAGCTCAAAGACATCTAGTGGCTCGAGATTGAAACACATCCCATAGTACAAAGTTAGTCCCCAACATGAGAAACGTCCTGGTACAAACTGCCAGTGATGCCTCGGTGCGGAACCCTGGATTACAGAAGTAAACTCATTCCTGTCCAGTCCAGAACAGTCAAGTTCACCGTCCACTGGATTTCTGAGGCTGTAAATTGCACACCTCTCTGTTAAGGGGCTGCTGGTGGGTTTAAAGCACGAGGAAGCCTTGTCTCTAGGTTAGCTGTGCGACTCTCTGGGGACCAGGGATGAATTTTCCCTCCTGAGACGGTCAGTTAGGAGCTGCTGGCATTGCCCCTCCCTCCCGCCTCGGCGTTCAGCAGTGACAGGACCAGCACTCGGATTCCCTCTGCCTTTCCCTCACAGTAGGATGCCTGCTGTGGAGTCGGGCACCATACTCTCATTCAAAGAGCAAGGAAAGAGAAAGGAAGCGGAACCAGCCATGCCTGTCCTCTTTTGCCAGGAAAGAAAAGCATTCCAAGAAACATCTTAGGAAGCTTCCATTTATGGCCCAAAGGACCAAATAGGCCCACATGGCCGTAGCAAAGGAAACTGAGAAATCCAGGATTTGGCCCTCCAAGCTTTCTACAAGAAATAGCCAGGCGCCCGCTGGTGGGGTTTGCTTTTCTATCCGCCTCAGGGTTGTCTGGCATGGTTGTGAGCAATTGTAAAGTCAACGTTCTCAGAACACCAGGTCTCCTCATACTAAATTGTCGCAGTGGAAAACCATCACTTCACAAAAACTCATCCCAGTGTCTTCCGAGCATTCCTAAGAGTGTGTACAATTACAAAAGAAAATAACATGGAGTATGTGTCTCATTTCAAGCTACTCAAAATCAGATTATTTCCTTCCCTATTTTTCTCTCCGAGAACTTATGGGGCTTATGGAGGGTAAGTGGCAGATTGGAAAACCACAGAGGAAGGAAAACCGGGAACTAGGAAAGAACTAGAACCATGGTTCTCCCTCAGTTGCTGATGGATTCAAGCCCCTGAAGAAGCTTGATCTTTAAGTCAGCAGCATAACTTGTTATGGACGGGACCCCCGAAGGGCCCTCTACACCCCTTTATTGTTGGTAAGTGCCATTGAGTCAGAACCGACCTAGCACTGACCCTCCAGTGAGTTTTCAGAAGCTATAAATGGCACAGAAGGAGCAGCCGGTGGATTGGAACCACCTACCTTTGGGTTGGCAGCACAAGTCCTTACCTGTAAGCCACCAGAGGGCCCTAAACCTCTTTAGTAATAGCTTATAATGAGGCTCAGATGATTCATCTTACCTGCACAGATGCAGTCTACTACAACTCACAGTGGCCCTGGGAAAAATGGGTCTGAGCCCTGTCCTATCCTGTGCCATCTTTGTCATCTCTGATACTCTTGAGCCCACCGTTACAGTCACTGTGTCAAATCCCATATAGATGATGTTTGTTTTAATGAAGTGCCAGACTCATGGATGATACTCTTTCTCATGTCTGTTTAACCTATTATTTTCCTTACAGGTAAAGTCAGGGGGTAGTTTCTGTTTGAGGTTTAAAGAGCATCAGAGAAAATAATCTCTGAGGGTCTGTCAGTCTCAAAGATCCAAAAGGACTTTTAAAGAGTTCGATTTCTGTCTTTGATTGATGTGACTTTTACGTGATCAGAATCCAGTTACTGTGACTGAGATTAGAGTGGTAGATAGAGGTGTCCAGACGCATCTCGTTTTTCTGGCCTCGGGTAGCTGAGGCTGTGGCTCAGCTCTGTAGACACCAGCGACGGAGTGAGTACTCAGCCACATCACGTGAGGAGACCATGTAGAATTGTTTACTACAGCTTAGTAAGTAAACCAAGGAAGCCTGTGTTTACCTGCCCATTTAGGAATCCAATACTGCCTGTAGACTAGTTCTTCTCTGATACTTCTGTTTCCTTTCTGCCTTTAGTTTTTGGGGGCTTTAAAAAGAACTATGCCCAATTCAAATGCCACCTCTTTTTGAAAGCGTGGAGCTCTGGTGGCTTAGTGGTAAGAAACTGTGCTGCCAATGTAAAGGTACATGGTTCTATTCCACCAGCTGCTCCTTGGAAGACAGCTGGACAGTCTCATCCTGTGCAGTTTACTGCCTCTAAAATCCGCTGGAGGATGGACGAGGGGTCGCCTCAGATTCCCTGGTGCACAGTGATGATAGGTTGAAAGCCTGGGCTAATGTCCTCCAAGATGACTTAGGGGGTTTGGTTTGTTTCTTTTTCCTCTTCTGCTTGGGAGCTCTGGGGGCCTGGTGGGTGAGGAATTGTGCTGCCAACAGGAGAGGCGATTCACATTGACCAGCTTTTCTGCAGGAGAAAGAGGAGCAGTCTCCTGCCATGGAGCTTACAGCCTCTGAAAACCTGCTGGAGGGGCATCTGTGAGTTGTTCTGACTCAACAGTAAGAAGAGAGAAGAGATGCTCGGGTCAGGAAGAGATGAGGCTTGTAGAACTGTGTTTCTCAAATCTCAAGATGCATATATGGCACCTGGACAGCTTGTTGAACATGAAAAATCTGATCCTGTAGCTCTGGATTGGGTCCAAACGTCTTAATTTCTGTTAAACTCCATGTGAAATGATACTGCCGGTCACTAGCATAATCATATCCTTCCTCTTACTAAGATTCTATTTGGCCATGCCAGGCTTCCTCCACATGATAAAACCTCCCTTATGGCAAGCACCAGAGAGCCCACAGAGCCTAGAACAGTGCCTGGAGCAAATTCTGCCACTGTGCTCCCACCACCTTCAGACATGAACAGTTGTATTGAGGCAGATATGACAAATCCATTATGAAACGAAAGGTTGATTTTCCAACAACATGACATCTCTTACTTGGAGGAGCCCCTTAACAAACACTGAAAGGATGGATGGATGGATGGATGGATGGATGGATGGATGGATGGATGGATGGATGGACGGACGAATGGATGAGACTAGCTGCTCAGAACAGGACTGGCATCTTTCAGACTGAGTCTGAATCAGATTCCTTTGGCCAAGCCTGGTGATCCTGGTCTCTCTTCTTTCCACAGGCTTCTCCTGCTGCTCTGGCGAAGAGTGTGTTGGCTGAGGTCCCAAACCAAGTCGTGGACTATTACAATGGCAAAGGGATTAAACCAAAATGTTCCTCAGAAATGTATGAGTCATCCAGGACACTAGCACCTTGAGTTCCACCCACTTTTATGGAGCTCTGATACCCTATTCCTGATAATATTTAATACTCCTCCTCCTCCCTTACTTAAAAGAAGCAACATGTACACATTTAAAATAGCACGTTTTGGTGATTTTTAACTAACTAATGATTTTTTTGCATGTGTAGCCCCAAGGCCTGAATCTATTAAGCCGTTGTATTGTTAAAGACTTTTTACACCGAAACACAATTAACAATAACTTAACTCTTTACAGTTCAGCATGTCTTGAAATAAAATGGTATCTGTATCTGTTTTTTATACAGGTTTGTTGAAATTTTGCTAAATTTCTTATTATCTTTCCACTGTACAGCATTTTGAAACCTTTATTGAACGTTGATAGCCAAAACATATGTGGTTTTATCTGCTACAGGATGAGAGACTTTTCAAAATGACAGATGCATGGACTGTATTTTGCATGTTTAAAAAGAAACAAAAGTCTAACATTTTTGCAGTTATCTATAATTCCTCCCTGCTGAAAATGGTCTCTCTACTGAAAAAGAGATTTGCTCAAGCAGAGGTGTTCTTCTTGAGGTGGCCTCGAGCTTTGGCGCTCTTCAGCCCACCTGAGCATCCTGTGAGGTTTGGATGCTTCTCAGTGGGCCTGCACGGGACCTGACACTGTGCATCTCCAACAAGTTCCCAGGTGATGCCAGCATAGCTGTCGGGTCACACCGGGAGCTCCGAGGCACTAGACCTTAGAGCACAGTGGTAGAGACCATCTGAAACAGGGAAGCTCTTAGTCTGCTTGCAAGTGGCACTTCCTCCTTTCCAGTAGCACCAAACGCCCTGCCTGTCTCAGAGGTGGGAATAAAAAGCAATGAGTCTGATTCCAGAAACTGTAGACTCTCAATCAGTCTCACTGCTTTATAGTCACACCTCTTCCTTCAAGAAGACTGGGGAGCACTTCTTCTGGCCAGGTGGTGCCCTCTTTGAGGGGTGCCATCAACACTGCATGGAGGGATCTGCTTTCACACCAGTTCTCAGAAATGATCCAAAACCTTCTTCATTAGAAGCACAATGAAAACTTGTCCACAGCACAAGGCCTTGCAGAACGGCTCACCGGAAGTCTGATTCCTGAAGTTGGTCTCTAAGGGTTTCATTTTGCCTTTTTTTTTTCTGAGAAAGGAAGTATCTAGCATCATCGTATTGGGTAGAGATGTTTTCCTTCGATGTACAGTAGCCAGCCTTGAATCAAAAGAATGAATGTTGTACTTGTATCATCGTCTCACAGACAAGAGGACAAGTGTTTTTCAAGTATAAAAAGGCACAAGTATTTTTGGTTCAAGAGCTGGGAGACAAATCACAAGGCCTGGTAGACCTGTGTGTGTGTGTGTGTTTGTAGGGAGGGAGGGTGGGTGTGAACAAGCAAATCAAATGCCTTGTCTCATTTCCAGAGTCATAATTCTAGATCCTAACTTTGCAAATACATGTCAGCCAAATGCACAACATTTTGGGAATGATGGATAAAATGTATGACTGGGGGAAAATCATAAATATTTAAACTGTATTGTTTTATGAATAAATTGGGTACTTACAGAATTTTTTTTTCTGAGTCATGGTCTTATTTCTCTCTTCAATTTAATTTTCTGACAGTGATTTATTTCATGTATATGACCTAGCCTCAGATTTTGGACTAGCTTTGTCACTGTCTCATCTAAATGAAATGATCATTGCTTTTAAAAAATAAGGAATTTAAAGATTTTGTCCCATTACTGCAGAAGAGAGGGAGCTCTGGTGGCCAGCGTTAAGGAGTTGTGCTGGCAATCTGAAGGTATGATGTTCTAATCCACCGGCTGATCCTTGGGAGAAGGATGGTCAGTCTCCTGTGCAATTAACTGCCTCTGAAAAGCCATGGACAGCTAGCTGTAGGCTGCCTCCAACCTGCCAGTACACAACAACAGCACAAGAGAGCACTAACGGCAACCTTAGGTACAACAGCTCTGAACCCTGCTGTTGTGCAAAGGGTCACTATGAGTCACAGGCAACTCGACAGCACATAATAACAACCGCCTTCAGTTCTGCAGAGAAATTGTATGACTCACATAATTATCTAGGCTTTCTTTTGCTCTGGAGTGCAAGTGTGGAAGCCCTGAACTCCGTCCCCGTGTGGCTTTTCCCCCACCGAGCTTCAGTCCATCAGACGCCACCTCACCTCATTGGTGCTGAGCAGGAAGGAACCCCTCGCTGACCCGCAGCTGGGTTTCCAAGGCTGTAAATTGCACAGAAGGAAACTGCTCCTCTTTCTCCCAAAAAGCTGCTGGTGAATTCACACAGCCTGCCGGTGAGCATGGTAACTCCCTACCGGCTGGCCTCCCGCTGGCCTCCCGGGGCTCAGTCAATAGATAGTAAGAACCCTTACAATGATTGAAGACCCCGGAGAGATTTGACTCCTGAACTTTATAACAAGCAATGTCTGCTGTGCTAAAAATTGAAACTGAGATGTTTGATATACTCATGATTCTATTTTTAAAACCATAGTGATGAACCAACTGCATCCTAACGTAATTTTTCTTGATAAAACGAAATTTCCCCAAACAATAAATAGCATAATATGAGCAGCCTCTTTGTTTGTTTTTTTACATTTCTGGAAATCTCTAATATTTTGCTTCATAAAAGGCAGCTATTTTTTCACTGCTCAACTGTCTTTCCACTCACATCTGTTGTGAAATGATGTTTTGGGTGAAGTAGCTGGAATACATGAAAATGTTCATGTGAGTGTAGAGTTGAAAAGGGAGAAGCATTTTTATTCTTTTTCTGACACCAAAACTCAACAAATAGTATGTTCCTCCTCGCTGCTGTCGAGGTGTTTTGACTCACAGAAAGGCCGCCTCAGGCTTCTGAGGCTGTGGATTCCCCAGGACGCTGCCCGCCTTCCCCCGCAGCTGCCGGTGGCTTCAAACCTCTGGCCTTCGTTAGCAGCCTGATAGGTTAGGCGTGATACCATTTCTTTCTTAATAGTTGCTGTGCGGAATGTGGAATAGTATCGGTAAGTCTTTCCTTGTGTTTTTCAACGGTTTTTGTGACCCATACATTGATGTATTGCTTACGTGGAAAATATTGCTTTACTTGGTTATTCATGTCTCCCAACCGTCCACATATTTTATTTTACAGTTTAAAAAGACTACGTGCTAGATGGCTTTAAACCATCACTGTTGATTGACCTCTTTGAAGTCTTTAGGCGTTGAGAACGTGTCAGGCAGGGATACTCCAAAATTCCAGTGTAGGAAACTCAGCTTTTTCACGGACAACAATAACTGTCAGTTGTTTTTCTTGAAGTGACAGCATCACTTTATTCATTTTCAAGAAAACATCTCCCAGCCGCTCAAGTCTGAATAACCACGGTTTATCTGTCAGTCTTTCTTATTCTTCAGTAAAAACAAGTCACATGGAAAAGGAAGTGCGTTTTCGCAGCTCACGGCTGTGCTGCATCGACGCAGCGTCTCGGGCTGGCGTGTTATGGGAGTGCCTTCGGGTACTTTGTCAGGATGTGTGATCAAAGGTTGAATTAATAAAATTGACATTTCGTTCTGCCTCATCAAGGGAATTCTAAAGTGAAATTGCATGTGCATCGCTGAGAATATTTAACCCATTCGCCACAGAACCCTCTCAGCTCCTGACGGTCCCCCCATGTATCAGAGAACTGAGCTGCTTCGTGTTTCAGGGACTGATTCCTCGGGGAGATAACCAAGCCTTCCTTCAGAGGGGCCTGGAGGACACCAAGCTCCAGCCTTCCAGTCCACAGGGGTCATGTTAACTGCACCAGCCAAGGGCCCTGCTGCAGAAGCTTAGCCGGGACGGGCACAGTGGTCACTCACAGCCCAGTGCCACTGCCTGGCAGTGCCCACGGCTCCAGCAGCCCTCCACACCTTTACTGCTGCACTGCAAACACCAGTGCAGTGAAAAAAGAAATAACACCTGGGTATGATCATGAAACTTGTTTTTACCTCAAAGTAACAGCCCTGGAGTCGTTCGTGACTCAAAGTGCCCTCCACTGGGCTTCCAGAGGCTGAAATCACAATGGGAAGACTTCCCGCCTTTCCACTGAGGCACCGGCTTCAGGCAGCCACACACACATGACCTCTGGGTCAGCGGTGATGCTAACAAAGGGTTCTGCTGCCACAGCTCCCTTCATACCTCAAAGGACCCCTAAAGTGGTCTCAGGGACCTTTGGGGACCCCACTTGGAAAACTGATGACTCTAGATTACTTGACAAATGGTGTATTCATTTACCATTCTGTGTAACAAATGATCACAAACTGAGTGACTTAAATAAGATACATTCATTAGAAGACTCCACTCTCCTAAGAAGCACAGGGGCCCAGGACAGTTTCTGTCCATTGGCTCCCATTTCACCAAAGCTCAGGTGAACACAAAGGTTTCCAAGCAAACACTAGTAAGTGGAAAACAACCCGAGAACCCTTCAGTGACAAGAGTGCGTGACAAGCATCTCAAAGTTTATGAAACGAAAATCTGTAACACGGATGTCCCCAGGATTTCCCCAGCCTTCCAGAGAAGACCCTGGCTATTGCTGTTGTTAAGTGCTGTCAAGTCATAGATGACTCATAGCGGCCCTATGAACAAAAGACCTGAACACTTGTATAACTTTCATGATTTCTCCACATTTATAGAGTTTCTGGAGGCAAGCTATTTTGGAAGTGGATGCCACTCCTGCTTCCAAGCTTGTTTTAATTGGGGAGCTCCACCAAACACTGTCCAACATGGGCGACCATTATCACATTTGACACAGCAGTGTCACAGTGTTCAACATCACAGCCACCACGAGTTACCTCTGTACAGCAAGTGGACAGACCAGTGTTATACCACCTAGAAGAATGTTTGACCAAAAACAATTAAAACCAGGCCTGAGGGCCGCAGATTAAAATCACCCACCTTTGGCTTGGTAGCATAACTTTCTACCCACAAGGCCCACAGAGCTCTCTCTATGTTGGTGGTGGTGCTGTTAAGTGCCGTCAAGTCGTAGATGACTCATAGCAACCCTATACACTTGTGTAACTTTCATCATTTCTCCAAGTTCACAGAGTTTCCGGAGGCAAGCTATTTCAGAAGTGGATGCCACTCCTGCTTCCTGCAAGTTTGGAAGACCCTGGCTGCGTGATGCAAATGTCTGGTACTTAGATGGGGTGGGACACAGCCATTGGAGTGCACTAAACACCTCTGGGTCATTCCGCTTACAGTGCCAACCCAGACGCCTTGTGGATTTGACCTCAGTTAAAATCCTATCGGCATGCAGCTCCAGTGGCCTGGTCCATAGGGGGCTGCAGTGCTAAACCAAATGCACACCTCTCTGGCAGTTCAAATCCAACAGCTTCTCTGCAGACAAAACGGGGAAATCTCTTCTCAAGCCATTTAAAGCCTCAGAATTCCAATGAGGGGTCAATTATGAGCTGGTTCTGACCCACCAGCA